TAGGGCAACAATGATGGTTGCGAAGAAGCAAGAGACTCGATCGCTCGTAGTCATGACGAGGAATATCAGAAAACTCCTTCCGGTATGGCTTCGCCAAAGGGATAATAATCTTCAAGTGTATTTCGACTGTACTCAGCAGCACACGTTTAGCCTCAGCTAAAAAACACACATTGCAGCTTCTCTTATGAAAAAAAAAAATCAAGCAAACCCATCAACGGAAAACGTGTTCTTGTGTTGTTCTTTTTTTTTGTCGCTATTTTGCCAGTCAATAACGCGATCGATTCATCGATTACTTAATCGAGTAAAGGCCACCGATTAATCGGGCTAATTTTCTTAGTCGGTGCCCAGCACTGCTTTTAAACTTTAACTAGTGCATGCGACCACATTAAAGAAAAAATATTAGATTTGAGGAAGAACAATATTTCTAAAGCATTCCAGTGCGCAAGGCAGCCCATTGGCGATACTTTTTAAGTCAGAGCATGAATAGAGCTCTTCTTTGCTCAGCATTTAAGTATTAAAATTAAGCAAATCTTTGTTCAGGTTTCAATTGTCATAAATAAAACGCAAAGTCGCAACGTGCATCTGGAAAGTTGTTTTTGTATATAGTGCACATCTATTTTATATGCAATAATATAAAAGAATGTGTGGAATTCGTGCGTATGATGTTTTATTGATAGAATGCGGTATCTGAGAGTTTGAGAATAAAGCCCTCACCCCCCGCCCTTTTTTTTTTTTGCGTTTCTGGTCAAAATATTTAACGAGTCAAAAGGTCCAATACTGGATATTTTGATTCGTTCGAACTTTTGGCTCGCTAGACACGAGTCAAGAGATCCAATATGGGTCAAGAGGTTCAACGAGCCAAGAGATCCAACGAGTCAAAAGATCCACGGCAAGTCCAGAGGTCCAACGAGTCCAAAGGTCCAACGAATCAAAAGGTCCACCCTTACAAAAAAATGTGAGCCAGTCTGTAGACATCTTAACGATTTTTTAACATACCTGTCCACTTCCTATCTTATCGCAATTTTTCTAGAAGGTTTCTACAGATTTCCTGTCAACAGGAGTCTACAGAGCACAGTCGAAAGAAATCCTATCAACAGTCTGTCGCCAACGGTCGTTAGACTTTGCGTCGCCATATTCCTTGATTTTCTACAGACTTGACTTGATAGACTATACACACTAAAAACATGACAAAATCGTTGATATGAGTGATAAGCAGGTTTCGTGCGTAGTCGCTTTTACAACAGGCTTGAAGTGAACTACATAGTCACAGGATTTCATTGTCACAAGATCCGGCCCTGATAAACATTTAAAAAGAATCACATAGAGCATATATAGATCAATAACACAGGTTTCCAATCAAGCATGCTGTAGGTTGCAGCTTTGACCACTGCGTGTCGTATTATTGGTATTTAATGTTTCTGTGCTTATTTGTCATTGTCGACGCAGGTGTCAACATAAAGCCGCCGCTTACGCCGCCAACCGAAGTGACTTCTACTCTCAGTTTTACGAGAGTCTATCGCGCTATAAGGTCGTCTATTGGACTCGAATGAAGTCTCGAGAGGGCTGCTTCGACTGCCAGTGCACATGTCATCAGTGTAGGTAGAGCAACGACGTAGCAATCGCGACGCGAGAGCATACTGCGCCACCATGTGGCCGGCCGCGCTCGCTCTGCGCAAATGTGAGCGTGGGACTCTCGAGCCCCGTTAGCTTACTGATGTTGGAAGACGGTACTTTGTCGTCGCGAATCCCTTGCCCTTCGAACGGTCGCGAAGCAGTTGCGCCCGGCGTACCCTACGCAGCATCTTTACGAAATTGTGAGCGCAGCATCGCAACCTTCTGTCAGCGAGCTTCGGCTATTCATCGTGTGCTGAAAGTCAGACGATGTGCTGTCCCTGGGGTCTTTTATGTGTAACTCTTGAGTAAAAAAAAAAAAAAAATGAAGTTTAAAAACGCGAACCTAACAGTGTACAAATAATTTTAAATTTATTGATAATATATATATATATATATATATATATATATATATATTTATCTATTAATTTAGTCGCGCTTAGTTCTTCATTCTAAATTATAATGTGAGTTATACGTCGTAAAATAAAGTGTCAACAAACTTGCCCCGTTTAGAATCACTCGGGCTAGACAGCTTCTTTAGAAATTCAAAAACTGGCCTTCAAAGAGCTGTCCTGTTCAATCGGTATTGACAGCAGGGTAGACGCTATGCGTGTTTTAGGCTAATCGTGTCTCCGGTTAGGGTCACATGACTACAGTCTCGAAGCTGGTGATAAGGCAGAGCACGGAACCTGACTAAAAGCCCAAGGCCACGCATAACACCCACTGCATTATCAACCTTGGGTACAAGTGACAAATCCTCCCGTTGTGTTCATTGTTGAGATGGCCGTGAAGATTAGCCTTTGTAAGCGCACCCCCCGTTCTCTGCTGCTTCCTTTTGAGACGTTTGACCTGCGTTTGAGACGTTCTCTTCTTCACTTGTCTCTGTCCCTTCTACTTTTAAGTTTCTGTTTCTACCCCAGTCTCGGGTTAAGTTCCATCATGGTTCCTTTCTACTTTCTTTTTCTCTCTCTCTCTAAGCTGAAGGAATAGTAGACGGCGCGTATTCGCCGGACCAATGAATCGTATACTTTTTATCGCTTGAATCCTCTCTCTGTGCGCGGGTAACGGCAGAAGCGTGATCACGTGGTTTGACGGATGACGCATTAGCCGTTGACAAACCCGGAACGCCTGCGAAGGCCGGACCTAGCTTCGCGGGTGATGCGGCCTGCGGGCCTGCTGTGGATTTCGCTTCTCTGGTAAATGTGGTAAATCTAGTTCTAGAGTTTCGATCACCAGCAGCGCATTTCGTCTTAGTGCCAAGTGCGATCTTCAACATGCGGATTGCCAAGCCCATGGATATTCTTTCGGCAGCGCCTACACACCGGTTATCTTCCTTTGTTGTGGGCATACATGTGCAAACTAGCTTCGACGGTTCGACGGACCGAAGACACGACCGACCGCCTTCTCTTCCGTGTGAGTGACAAGGAGAGGCCCTCCTGACCATTTGGGATAGGTATTCTTGCTACGCAATGTACGTTTTGTCACTCTCCGATGAGTTTGAACCGGGTCGAACTCTGTGCCAAGAATTTCCGACGAGTTCCACGTGTAATCCACAGCGATCGGCCCGAAAGGCACCGTACCGCGCTATTTGTAAGTTCTTTTTGCGCCCTCAAGTCACAAATTAAAAAGTTAATTAAAACATTTTATTTAATTTGCTAATTACCTAATTTCACGTATTTTCTAGAGGCCGCCATGTCCATTAATACTTTCCCAGGGCTCAAATTACTCTATCTCAAGTTCCCTTTTTAAATATTTGGTGCAAATAAAAAAAAAATACACCCTGTATACGTCCCTAGTGTAAAATAGACTCGCAAATTGAAGACACCTAACTTTTCCTTACCATGCAAAGTCTGGGCTTCTATGAAAGCTCCAGGCAGAAACTGGTAGCTTGGCGTTGATCGAAGAGTTTGACCGGGCCAGCTGTATTGGTGGCGCAAGCTTACAAAGGTTACAGCCTCTATCGTCCATCGTTCATAATCTCCCACCCGTTTTGCTTCCAACCTATCCTGCGCGTTTTTCCTAATTATCGAGCAAGTGAGCCTGTGAATGGGGCATGTGCTCCCCAGTTGAGTAGTGGGGAGCTGCACAACTGGAGATTTTAATAGATGCTAACTTGTCATCTCTCTCTCTCTTTTCTATTTTTTCAGGCCACATCTGTGCACTTTTCAAGGTCGATGCAGCAAAGATCAAGCACAGCTTATCAAGCATGCTAAGCAAGCTGGACAACTACAACAAAACACTGCTCAACAACTGAGAATAAAAAAAAAACGAAAAAGAAGAACATTTTGTCTGATCTTTGAGTGTATAATGAAGCAAGTGCTCTGCATGGCAGCATATGCATCGGTACACTTGAGAACTGATAACTAGCATCTGTAGATAATGGATAGAGTTGAGGGGATTTCTCTGTAGAAAGTGGGCAGAAAATGGATAGAAACTGCTATATTCTCCATAGTGAGATGATAGAAACTGTGGCCACTTGTCTACAGCAATTCGTTAGAAACTCTATAATTGGCACTAGAAATGGTACACGAGTGTTGCTAGAATGTCTGCATGTTTGCTGTACAGAGTCGCCATATTATCTGTACACTGAAGTCTACACAAAACCTGTAGGAAGCAGCGGCCGATAATCTGTAAACAATGGTTAAAAAAGTGGATACATTCTCCCTAGGAAATCTATGCTCTCTAGCCACAATTATGTCTAGAAATTCTGTAGAAATTGGTTATATTTTTTTGTAAGGGCAATAATGGATCTTTTGATCCGTTGGATCTCTTGACTCGGCAGACACGAGTCAAGAGAGATTGTAAGTCAACAGCTCCAACTACTCGAGAACTGCGGCTTCATATTGAAAAGGGGTCACGAAAAGCCCCTCACCACTCCTCCCCTGGTCGCAGGGAGGCGTTGTACAATAAAGATCAGAAAACAATTTCTGTCTAGGTGCCTTTGGTACCATTTTTGGATATTAAGCTAACATAGACTACGCTAAAAATATTCTCAACAGGGAAATACGCTCAAGGGATTTACAGTATTTACTTCCTACCGGCTTCCAAATGTGGAATTGTTGACGCACTTTATAACATCACTGAGAAGGCCCTGCGGCATTGTTTTCGGCATTGTTTTGATTGGCTCATATGCGAGTGTTTGTGGTTCTACTATGGGAACATGGAAGAACAAGCTTCAAAATATGGGAAAATCACACGCACACAAAACACATATTTTGGCTGTTTTTCCAGAGATGACTCACGCGTGATCATATGTTATAACTTTCAGCTGTTTGCAAAGGGAACAACAGAGTGTAGGTGCGCTTCACCGAACAGTATATAAAACAGCGAAAGAGCTGTGATGCGCAGTTACCCCTTTTCCAGTACCATAGTCACCAACTACATAAAAAATGTCTCTGGGCTTCTTTGCCATCGCCGCAGTTCTAATCTTTTGTTGTGAAAGCACAACACCGAGTTACTTTGAGCTGAAACCAGAGTTAGGAATGTACCAGGACGCAACCGTGGTATGTATAAGTTTTTATTTCTCAGATATGAAAAAGAAGTGAAATCTTTTTTCAAATGCGGATAAATGTTTAAATTTGTTTTGTTTTTTTGCCTTTGAACAGAATTGCTGCAGACGTTTCCTGATAATTTCTTTCCTTTTTCGTGATTTCACTTGGAGTTTTTTTTATATAGGTGATTCGTATATGTATGAGAGTAAAAATGAGTAAAATAATCAAAATGTAACTGAACTGTAGAAATAAAACTGTACACAGCGCGACACAGCTATAGCATAAGCCCCAGTACGCCTTTTTTAATTTCTATTTTGATCCTACACTCACATTCTGTTACCACAACTGCTAGTGCGACGGAGAGTTCACATTCAAGGAGCAATGCGCCTTAAGCTCTGAGATTCAATAATATTACTGTTCCAGTAAAATGCAGCAAACAAAATAAACTGCTTTATGTGCTTTTCGGCACTGTGTCCGGTGATTTCGTTTCAAATCGGGAAGTTTAAAACGGTATAAAAACCTTTTCAGTCCGAAAAAGAAACAAAAAAAAACATGTTTTAGATATTTTACTATTTAGATTTAAAGGAAATAGTGGTATCCGGAAAAATTTCTTTTCCTCGTTATGGAGCGTTGTAAAGCGGCCGCTGAGGAAGTAATTGTTTTTTTTCTCGAATGTTACCCACGTAACTCTTACCCCACTTCCTAAAGATCCGTTTCATTAAAAAACAAGATAAATACCAAACTTGCAAAGATCATACTGGTTTCAGATTTTCTTTATCTTAGCAAGTTTGAGGAAAGCAGAATTTAGCGGATCCTTGTTTTTGGCCGGTGTTTTCTCACATGGATTTGCTTTTGGTTCCAATGGAAACCTACAGGTTTTTCCCCTCACCGAGACCTGGCACGTTGTGTACAGAAATTACGAAGACGACCCGGCATTTGGTACTTCCAAGTGCCTGAGGTTCGCTCAGGTGCAACCCGAAAAAGATGGTGCATATCCGGTCGTAGCTATGTACGGAACAGACAACAAGTCGGCGTAAGTATCATCTGAGGAGACAGCTGAAGCTTCACAAAGTTTTGATAAACCGAAATATTCTGTTAGCGTCGACTATAGTCACTGTCAGTTTAAGAAACACAGGACATAGCTTCTTATGGCCACGTTTCTTCACTTGTGATTGGTTCTTTGGGCTTTCTTATCGTCTGGTGCGGCAATCTCGTTGACTTAGTAATAATAATATGGTTATTATCATTGAAAAAAATACGCGTGTAAGCGTGCAGGCCCACGAAATCAAAGATGCTTGTATGTGGGACCAGGCAGCCAACAAAATACCGTGATATATTGAACACTGGAGAAACAGAACAAACAAACAACAATAATGTGGGAATGTGGGCAACGAATACGCACTAGGTAATTATATACTGAGTATTGAGCGAGCGTAAATACGAAAATATTTACTTGTTATTATCACATACTTATGAAACTGATTAAATAACAATACTTCTAACGCGCGCATTTTTAGAGGGCAGCTCTTAGGGGCCCGTTTCCGGCTTGAGCGGCGTCGGCGTCGCCGTCACCGTCGCCGTAACCGCGAGGTCACGTGACAAACCAGCCAACCAACCTCGGGAGGTCACGTGACCAACCAACCAACCAACCGCAAGGTCACGTGACCAACCAACCAAACAACCTCGGGGGGGGGGGTGAGGTCACGTGACCCCCCGCCCCGAGGTCACGCGACGCCCCCCCCCCCCCCCGAGGTCACGTGATCCCCTGAGGTCACGCGACCCCCTGAGGTCACGCGACCCCCCGAGGTCACGTGACCCCCCTCCCCCCGAGGTCGCGTGACCCCCTTAACGTCATACGACCCCCCTGAGGTCACGTGACTTCAAGGAGTCACCTATCCCTCAGTACGCTTCCATCCTCCTCCTCAAGAGCTGCGCTCTAATCCGACGTTACAGGGAATTGCAAACGGCTTTCATTTTTAGAGCGCAGCTCTTAGCGGCCCGCTTCCGGCTTGAGCGGCGTCGGCGTCGCCGTCGGCGTAACCGCGAGGTCACGTGATCCCCCAGGTCACGTGACCCCCCGAGGTCACGTCCCCCTGAGGTCACGTGACCCCCTGTAGTCACGTTACCCCCTGAGGTCATGTTACCCCACTGAGGTCACGTAACCCCCCTGACGTCACGCGACCCCCCCTGAGGTCACGTGACCTCAAGGAGTCACCTATCCCTCAGCACGCTTCCATCATCCTCCTCAAGAGCTGCGATCTAACCGGCGTAACAGGGAATTGTAAACGGCTTTCATTTTTTTTAAGGTCTAGTTTTTCGTAGACTGACCCATATGAAATATTGTTTTCACTATATTTTATGATTCTATCGATTCCCTGTTTCTTGTACTCAAAAAAATTCCCATAACTTGTAATTTCGTACCGTATGAGTGGTTCTATCAAAGATCTAAAAATAGTTCTCCGGAAGTTTACAGAACGTGCACTTTTTATCTTGTAAAGATACGCCGACACCACTCGCATTCTTTTAATAATATATTCTATTTGTTGGTTCCAAAGTAGATGTTGGTCAAATATTTACCCTATATATTTAACCGAGGAGTCATAAGGTAACGGTCTACGCGTGCAACTTTGTTGAGCATGATCTTGGAGGGGAAGATATATGTTTGGTGCTAGAATAATTTATTTATGGGGATTAGGAAAACAGACTAGTTACTTTTATTGACGTTCGCAGAAATGAGATTACTTGAGAAACTGTTAACTAATACATCTACATCGCTTTGAAGTAGCGGAATAGCCTAAGTTATACTTGTCATGTGGTAGTAATATAACATTATCATCCGCGTAGTGAAACATTCTAGATCGTGGTGGTAGTAACCCTAGATTATTCACGTTTATATTACACAATAACGGACCTAGTGTGCTACCCTGTGGCACGCCGTAATCGACTCTGAGTTTTGTATTGGTGCTGCTTGCAATTTTAACCATTTGAAACCTGTTTGTAAAGTAATCAGTGAAGAACTTCGGAGGGATAATGAAATTTGCAAAACTGACAGCTCCCCTTTCGTTTTTTTTTTTTATCTCTCAGTGAATATATTTTTTTTTTCCGGAAAACGAACGTCGCACAAGCTAAACAAAGATATTTTGCTGATTTGCAAATGGCGCACCTCTGGACATCTATAAAGAGTTACTAATAAAAGAAACGTTACAAATTCAGTGAAGAAAATTGAACATCATTATTGTGGTTGAAATTAAAATATAGCAACCCAGAAACCTTGTTCCCCGACCACGACGTGCACAATAGGTGGATATCAGTGAGGGCTCCCGTTTAAATTCCTCTACCGCCCCGCTTTTCCCAAACACTTCGCACTCGGTTATTTTTACAAATATTAGACGTGTACCTTCCAAACGAGAAGAACTGCATTCATTCATTGAATCGGCAAATGCTGACATAGTGTTCCTAACGGAGACTTGGTTACGTCCAGAAATAAAAGATATAGAAGTGTACCCAAAAAAACATGAATTTCGCATTATTAATGTGTGATAGTGACGAAAGAAGGGGGTGGTGGCGTTCTTATCGCCGCCAAAAACACAGTATCTTGTAATCGGGTACCAGTACCGTCATCGCTCAAATGGTTTGGGTGATCGCATCATCGCGATCTCATCATCGCGATCTCATCAGTTAAAATGATAAATCAACCAAGCAGGATTCTAGGTTCTTCTTGCAGCACCCTTGATCTATGCTTATCGTCTCATCCCAGCAACATCAACAGCATCTCCTACCTTCCGGAGCTGAGTGATCACTTAGTAATACATTTTTTCGCTGGAACTTCCTATCCCCATCCCGAAAATCTCCACACCATACACACGTCATGGATTATAACAAAGCAAACTCTCAGGCAATAAACGAGGGCTTAGAAGCGTTTTACTGTTCGTTTATGTCCACCTTTGACCAGAATTCTATTAATGAGAACATTATCGCCTTTGGGATAAATATGCAAGTCATGCAAAGGTACATAAAAATGCCGTCGCGCAATCAAAATTAAAGTTTTCGAACATGACTAGAAAAATTTTCTTACACACAACCCAAAAAAATTTGGAACATTGTCAACCCGACACGTGCGAACGCATTGGCGTTCGTTGATGACGACGGTGTGAAATTTGAAGATGAAGAGAGCGCACAAAAGCTTATTTTTTAATTCACTATTAACACCAAGAGGATCTTGACACCATACCTAACCTGAACACGGTTGGGTATGGTGTCAATGAATCCGATCGATAATTCATTCCCCGGTATTGTGAAAGCAATTGAAAATTGCTTTCACAATACCGGAGAATGATTGTGAAAGCAATTGAAAATTGCTTTCACAATTGTTACACAGTGGTGTAACGATTGGCAGATGAGCCTAAACATGGAAAAGTGCAAGTTGTTAACATTCACTCGTCGAACCACCTCGTCTAATTTTTCTTACCAACTAGGTATCAATAGAATTGGCCACTGCCCATCATGTAAGTACCTAAGACTTCACCTCACCAGCGATCTCGCATGGATCCACACCTTAACGAAGTTGTCCTAAAAGCTAACCGCACACATGGATACTTAACACGTAACCTAAGACTCTGTTCGCCCGAAATCAAAAGGCTAGCCTGCACAACCCTGGTTCGTTACCAACTGGAACACGCATCATCGATTTGGTCGCCATTTAAAAGTATCTCTCTAACAAACCAGAAAACAATTCAAAACAGAGCACTAACGTACATTCACTCCGACTACTCCCCCTATACAAGTATCACTTCACTTCGTAATCGGTCTGATCTCCAAACACTTTCTTTCCGTCAAAGGTTTTTCAGACTTGCCAGTCTTCATAAAGTATATTATCACAATCTGAATATTGAAAATGGCGCTTCTCAGTGTCCTAAATCGAATTTCCGCTAGGGTTGACAATGTGTGTAAAATCAAATTCATCCGCACTTCATCCTTGTTTTTCGCAAATTTCATTATACCTCTTGCTATTGATGATTGGAATTCATTATCCAACAACTTTGTACTAGAAATTAACGCATCTAAGTCTTGTGAACTTTTCTGTGTTTTCTTGGATGAAATGAACGAGCTATAAATTTGTATAGTGATTTGTTAACTTGTTATCGCCATTTAACATTTGCAATTATTTTTTAATTTGTTTTGGATTTTTAATTTTGTGTTTAAACAAGTGTCGTCTTACTTATCCTCCCTTGTGAAATACCCGGAGACGGGTCCTCAAGGTAAATAAATGAAATGAAATTAAATGAGATTTGAATGCCATTGTTCAATATATACGGACTCCCAACTCATCAACCTAAATCTAAAATGTACTATAAAAATTGACGCCTGCACGTAGCAATCTAAACTTTTCATCAAAGGTGACCTTCACAGGTTGTTTTTTCCTGTAAAATTAGGAAGCGTAGCTCCCTTTCTGTACAAAATTGGGCCAAAAAACTTACCAGGGTCAAAGGCGGGCGTCGACGCAGACGACCAAGTCGAGAGGCGGGGCGCACTTGGCGCTCGTATTGATAGATGCCGCTACCTACTTATTAAGACGGCTTGCGACCACTCTGGTTTATTAAAATGAACTTAATCTTTTTGTAATGTACCTTTGGTTTAAAAATATATGCGGTCGATAAAAGCAAAACTTAATGTAAAAAAAAAACGCGCCTGCAAAACGACGGCGCTTCTGCTGCACACGGATTTCGTCTGCGTGTCGTCTGCTTTCTTTCGCTGGTGAGCTGCACTTCCGACGCTACTTTCGACGCCATCTATCAATACGCGCACCAAACGCGACCCGCAGCTCGACTTGGTCGTCTGCGTTGCCTCCCGCCGTTGACCCTGGCGAGTTTCTTGGCCCCATTTTTTGCAGAAAGAAAGCTACGCATTCTAACTTTAAAAGAAAAAAAAAAAACCTGTGAAATACACCTTTGACTAAAAGTTTAGATTGCTACGGTCCAACGTCGATGTTTACGGTCCCTTTTACATCAAGCCTGGTGACTTGGGACACCCTATATATAAGTTTGAAGAATACTGGAGCAATAAAGCTGCTCAACTCATCTCAGTCCAAAGGTTCTGGAGCACTTGTAGTATTAATTTTTAAGCTTAGGGTTCTTTCGGCTTTGTATATAACCAACATCTCTCCCGAGTCGATATTTCTTCGTGAACAGTACAGAATATTGTCTTTTGCAGGTTCTCTAATTATCGACAATTTGTTTCTAAAATCAGGGGCAAGTAAAAATTTGATTACTGGATGGACAGGGGTGTGGCTAAACGAGCGCTACGATCCAGTTCCATTAATTATATTTGTTACGGATAATCAATTCTTTAATTGCAATATTTACATTAAATTATCGACCGAAATTAGTTTGTTTGCTAGATCAATTTTATTTTAATTGTGATTTTGTTATCAGGATCCTCTGTAATAAAATTGTAATTTTTCTTTGTCAATTCATCACTTCCACGTAGTAATTTTTATTGTGTTTATTTTATATATGTTGGTTCTACTTTGACTCTTTCCCTGATATTGGTTTTAATTTGGCCCACGGGAATATTGTAATAACACTTCCATCCTATCATGCTTAATCCGCAGTAGCGCGGTGATAACCCTCGACGCCAATGAGGGATATACCGTCAAGAATCAGATAGTGTTTCATCCCGATGGACGTAAGTATTCTTTAATTGATTATGAAAATATAGAGTATAGTGCCCTAAAAGTAAAACCAGAGTTTTGCGATCTATAAATGAAAAAGGTCTCCACTTGATCCGGCAATATCTGCAATACATCGTAACCCAGGCAGCACGTCTGAGAAATGCCTAACTTAAGTTTGGCACAGATAGGGGACCCAGGGATCCTGGGTTCGAGCCCCACCCCTGCCCGTTTCGATCTGGATGAGCATCGTAGCGGCGTGCGGTCGTGTATCACTACTGCTAGCGGTTGTACTGCACTGTCTAAATTGCTCATCTACAGCGTGTGACTCTTTGCAACTTTAATGGCTGTCCAACTGCACGCTGTATAAATATCCCCATAACCCAATTTGCTTTTACAGATAGGGGCCTAACTTTGACTTCATCTGAGTTTGCTTCAAGGCGTTAGTCAGTGACAAGGTACTTTTTCTCGGCGCTAACTAGTCAGAAAAATGCAAAGCCTGACATCTCTCTGATTGGCCTCTCAATTGCCAATGCGTCATACATGAGCCAAAGGTGCTACGTGACAACCGAACAACAAGCAGTGGAGGCCTAATTCCGCAAATTGCTAGGGCACTCAGGCCCAAACAACCAGGGTGACAACCCAACTATCAAGCACGGAAGCCTAACTCTGAGACATGTTTGACAATTTGGGAAGAAAATACCCAGACACTTGCCAATTAATATGAAGTTCGGTTATACCTTGGCTTCTTTGGGCTTTCAGGGCCCCACATTTCCTGATAAAAAAAAAACGAATTTTCGGCCCAAACAAGTGTGATAATGCAAAGTTTTATTTCTCAGTTGCTGTGTTTACAGTTTCCGGCACACACTAAAAAAAGAAACATATTCTCAACTTATATATTGCAGAAGATCAGCCCTTGCCCTTATATGTCTCTTACCTGGATCCTGGAAACTGTGGTGTCAACAGGAACGTTTACGTCAATGGTACGACTACTTTTTAACAAAGATACTTGCTTTCACAATATATATATATATAATAAGTCAAAGATGTGTACTCTTGGAGTTACTAATACGAATTAACTTTTTAATTCGTGATAATAGACAAATGGTTTCAATTAGAAACTTGCTACGCGTCATCGAAAACCACTAAATCATATTTTTTTAAATGATTTTGAGCGCGTGAGAAGCGTAGTGGTGCACTAAAGTTACCACTCGCGGACCAGGTGCAAGGCGCTAGTGTTTGCGGTAAGGCGGCCGCTCGATCGTGTCGTCTGTTATGAGAGCCTGAGCCTTGTACCTGTGCCACGAGTAGTAACTTTAGCGTACTACTACAGTTCTGATGCGCTAAAAGGCTTTCTGAAAATTACTGATTTAGTGGTTTTCGATGACGCTCAGCTAGTTTCAAATTTGAGCCAGATGTATATTTTCAATAATTCAAAAATTAATTACTCAATTTTAATTATTGAGCGGAATAATTAGTAAGTATCGCGCATTTCCTGATGTCCGCGACCACGAGTAATACGGTCACTAAAACATTATCCTTTTATCTCGAATACACAACTTTTAGGAATATGTGTCACTCTTACGTGAAACTCCCTGTATGTATATATATATATATATACATCGTAAATTAAAGTGGTGAGGAGCCTGAGATACCGCAACTTGGATGAAAAAGGGACGGAAGTCCCACTACGAACTGACGTTGGGCTTCGCCCTTACTGCGGGAACCGGGTCATTGCGAACCACTTTTTGCTACGGAAGGGCGAACCTTCAGCAGCAGCAGGTAGTCTTAGCATGGCGCTACAGCAGGTTGCCGTACAGGGCGGCAATTCACTGGAGGCTCGCGCTGTGATTTGCAAGCAAGATCTATAGCTCGCGCCAGGAGCCGTACTGTGAACACAGTAGCCAGCGGTACGGCCCTGCTAAAACTTCCTAGTGTACATCTGTAACGCAATGCTTACCAGTGGTTTTATATTGCGGTTCATGGAGGTTGAGATTTGCTCTATAAGTATGAACGTGCAATATTTATTGTTCAATGATGTGGTGCAGCCTCACTTGACGGCTACTATAAAAGCATTCGTGCACTGTCTAACGCACATGTTCAATCGCCGCAGAAAACGCATGCTGCGTTGTCGTTCCCGAAAGCAAACTTGGAGAGGATACCACCTGCTGCGATTTCGTCTACGCCCTGCTGTGCGGTGATACGAAATATCAGATCCACGACGACAGCTGTACGAATCAAGGCTGACAATGGAATTCCAACATTGACTCTTGAAACGTAATTCTGCTCAGATCTAAAAGAAATCGAGAATAATGGTTCATCTAGGTGCGAGAAGTGCCGCTGATCGTTAACCAAAAACACCAAGTTTCACTACAAAAATAAAATTTAGTCTGTAAACATTGAAAACCTAAGAACCGTAGGAAAGGGTCTGTTTACGTTATTCGTCTTGCATACTGATTTATTCGTAGACGTCCTTATCGGCTAACAGCGTATCCTCATTGGCTGGGGAGCGATAAATGGATGTTCAAGATTCACCACGCCTTGCGTTTATTAGGTTGTGCACTCGGTGACTATATATTGCTCCTTAAAGTTTCAAGAGACACGCGGTTTTAAAGATCACTTTTTGCTAGCTTCTTTGGCTTGTGTCCTTCATTATGTCTTTGATCAGCACCCTAAACAAGAATGTATCCGCCTCCACTTTTCTATGTTAAAAGTTATCACAGTTAACGACACCACGCACATCAGAGCCAGTATTTCGGGCGAAGGTAATCGGAATGTTTCAATGGTTTGCGCTCATATGCCAATAAAATATTCGATGTGTGCGGCGTTGTATTTGAATTTTCTCGGCGTGGGTTGGGTAGTGAGGTTGATTTGCGTCAACGACCCGAAAAATAGACGAAGCTATACCGCCGTATAGCTGTTTCCGAATACCCAGGTTACGCGATAAGCACTAATCCCACTAATGAATCAACAGCCAAAATGTTATTGAGATGCCAAGTGCTGCTGGGACTGGCCTCGGGCTGAGCTGCCGAACGTCCAGAGAACCGATCGACAGTCTGTACTCTGTTTCAGCCTACGATGAACTTTAGGTGACACTGCGAGGCATGGGAGTCAATCCAATGCAGCTTAAGTGTCACGTGACCTTAGAGATGGGCACATTGGATTTCGGGGTTTGTTGTCACGTGACACGTTCACAGAGCTGGATTGTTTAAGACGGCTCGTTAGCGTCCATTGCAGTCCATCGTAAGGTAAAATGAAGTGTATTTTAAAGTTTCAGACCCTCCGCACTGTAAAGGAGCTTCCCCCAGATGCATTTCCTTCCTGGGCAATGCTTGTCTTTCGGGTTTTAGAGCGCCGTCTCCGTCGCCGTCTCCGTCGCTGTAACAGCGCGTTGCATTATGGAAAACGTCCCATAAGGCAACGCGCGTGTCTCACTTGTGAACCGCGCGTTGCATTATGGGGCGTTTCCCATGATGACGTCACAGGTGACGTCACGAGGGTCCCACGCGTCGCATTATGGGAAATGTCCCATGATGCAACGCGCGGGTTACGAGTGAGCCACGTGCGTTTCATTATAGGAATTATGGGACGTTTCCCATACTGACGTCACACGTGACGTCACGGTCAATAGTGAAGGTCACGACGAAGGTCACGACCTTCCCTTCACGAGGCCTTCACGAGTGATGTCACGAAGGTCACGAGGGACGTCACGAGGGGGGTGGCAGGCCGGGGGTGGACAAAGGGGGGAGAATGAGAGGAGGAGGAAGGAGGAGGATGGAGAAGGGGGAGGGGGATGAGGAGAAGGAGAGGAGGAGAAGGTACGGAGGAGGAGGGGCATACCCTCCTCTCCGTACCCTCCCCTCCTCCTTCGCAAGAGCTGCGCTCTAATTCGGCATTACAAGGAGTTGTAAACGTCTTTCATTTTTTCTTCTTTTTTTGACGATACTATACTTTTGCTTGATATAGCTGCCTTTACATGAATGCGACCATAGCGCATCGAATCGGAATTTGAATTTTTTTATTATTAGCAGATGGGAAGAAGAGGACGAATTTGGAAGAAAGGCTGCTTGCGATCGATCCCTGCTTGATTCAATGCGCTACAATCACATTCGTGTAAACATAGCAATATCGTGTATTGCCTTTGGTTTTTCTTTATCTGTTGAACTGTGTCGCATGTTTGAACTCAATAATCAACGAGGGATTGCCTTCTTCCGAAAAGAGTCGTCTGAAGTGTGCGGTATCCCTTTAATGAGGCGACTATAAATATCCTGTATGTGATTAATTTGCACGTAGTTACATACGGGAACGCAAAAAGTTACCATTATTTTTGGAACGCTCATCATTTAATAAGGGTGGAATCTTACTAGAGAGGAAGTTAAATGCCATTTTAGACTGCCGCTACCTAGAACATTTGTTTTTTGACACTTTTGGGAGAGAATAAACTTGTTTCCAACCAAACTCCCAGATACTCAGTGCGTCATGCTATATGATCGTCTCGAAATATCATTGTTCCGACATTTGTGTGGCGTAGTAAATACAGAGATGACTCATAATGGAGAGAGCGTTTTATAGTAAGATAGAGTCGTTACTGCTGCACGGCTTTCCATGTTTATTTTTACTACTTCTTAAGGACATTCCGAAAGGAAAATATGTCGCCCCATTCTGCCACAGAAGTCACACTCGTCAGCTTTTTTAGTGTCAAAGCACAATTCGCGGTGTTATCGCCGAGCGAAAGCCTCCCAAACCCTTACGCAGTCGGCTCCTAATACTCTGAATGGTAAAAGTTATTAATTAAAAAGCGAATATATCAATTACAATAATGCTCTTTTTTATGAAGATGCCGAATAGTGCGAAAGCGTTGTGAATGCGATTACTTTATAATAAAATGATAATAAAAAAAAGAACGTCGGAATGAGACAGCCACTCTCTTTTCTATAAGTGAGTGACTATTTTCGCCTTCTGCGGGTTGTATTCTTTTGAGATGCAGTGCAGTGTACAAGAATATTGGCTGCGTCAAGAGCAAGGCCGTTTTCAGCTATACGCAGTTTCACCTCAAAGGACACTAAACTTTCAAAAACATTTTTATCACTTGTAATCACGATCGGCGCCTCAATATAATAGACACATGTTTCAGAGCCGCTCCTTATTCAAATTGTGTCTCGCGGGGTAAACCTCGTGCTAAAAAGTTTTTTTTTCCTGGAAAAGTGTGTTTTGTGATATACTTGTCCTATTCATGATCTTAGAAATATATTTCCAAGTTAAGTGTCCTTCGACATCACAGCGCAGCCGACACTACGAGCCCTTTGAATCAGTCAGGTAACTTCAAATGCGCAAAGTCCCGGAGTTGTCGTTCTCTGCATGTGCACGCAATTATCAGATAAACTAATCAAGCGACTGAATGCGCCTGGACCTTGCGCTTTTAGTACGCGTGTTTTTTTTATATTTACGGAATCCTTCTACTACTCTGCAACGTATGGAGAAACGAGGCATAGAGGTGTTGGAGTAGAAACTAAATGCGCTTAACGCTGCTGTCGACTACATGACGGTCTGGCTAGGTGGCGCGAGCCGCCGTTTCATTAAGATACCGTATTTACTCGAGTAATGGCTATAAAGGAAACCTGGGGGTTCGCTTTTCTGCGCAGCATGCAGATTGCCACTCACCGCGATCGACAGTATGGTTTCAGCTGTTTACAGGACAGATATAACGTCTACGTGCAAAGACGCCATCTTTGAAGATTGCATTTGTTTGGAGAATCGTGTTTTCCATATGATTATTCGCTATGTCATTTATGTGCCATGCAATGATTGGCTTTATATGTGTTCCGTGGGAAAGTAGACGCAAGGGCCTTGTTCATAAATAGTGCGGCTATTACTCAGGCAAATACGGTAGTTCAGTCGCAACCATGCATTCGTCGGAGGAGAAAGCGGTTGCAGCTAGATAACTGCTGTCTGCCCTCCTAAAGAAAAAGAAAACAAAAAAAGAAGCGTAAGTGACACGCTTGTGTCAGCCCTATAACCGCTCTTCTTTGTCATCTAGGTGACTATATACTACGCCAGTGCTATTGAGGAGTTTCAGCGAATATAGGGGGCGCTCCGATAGATCCAACATGGCGGACAAGAGGGGGATAGATTTCCGACGCCCGTAGACCGGTAGCGTATAAATAGAACAAAGCGTGTCGTTCTCTGTTTGTTGCCGTGTGCGAGACGATCATCATTTCAACCAAGACCTACCGTGATGCTACAGATGAAGTGTTCAAGCCAGTCGAAGGCAAGAAATCTTGCCATAGTCAAGATACGTGTGCAAGTGTTCGACGTGAGCTCTCACGCTGGTGCAGCTGTCATCAAGTTGAACCGAATGTACGCGGGTCCAAAGAAAGGTACATATTAACAATGTTCGCGCGTTCAAACTATGACGCGTACTTTATCTCAAACTAAACTTATCGGTCTGCGGCTACGAACATTTTCGTTGTCGTGGCTTAGATGATGTAACCATTCGTTGCGAACTTTTCGGTTGTTCTAGTTAATTGTGCTAAAAAGCGGTTGGATGGAAAGTATGACAACTACAGCATACAAGGGACGATTGAGGTCTTTATCCTGCGTTCTATGTATCGAAACATCGGTATCCTTGGTGTTATATTGCGATCAGCTGGTCGCCGATCGTCCTGTTTTTACGCATAATGTAAACAAGCCCCGGAAGCGCCAATCTCATTTCCATGTGCTTGTGCACCCCTACAAGCCTCATTTTGGCTCTTGTGGAAAGCTTTATTGTAATAGCAATAGTCTCATCGGTCATTCGAGTTGTATGTGCCACGGTGATATCTGCTGTGTGTGATCTGCTGACAAACAAGTCTGTATTAAATGCGAGGAGGAGAACGAAGGTAAAGCTTTTTTAACTGTTTTCTTTTTACAGAACAGGGCAAAGCTTCTAAAACAAGAGCAACCTTAGCTGATATTTGAGTATGCTCAAGAATGAATTGCAAAAGGTGCTTATGCCAAGTGGTAGATGTATGCAGTTGATTTTCTGTTTGCTTCTGCATTGTAAATTGGAAGATATGTATCAGCAGAAGACATGTGTCCTTTTCAAAATGTCTTTTATTAGAGCAAATAGGTTTTCATACACAACCGAAGAGTTCGAAACACCATTTAATTTGAGGCCTGAATGGTTACATGATCTAAGCAACGTCAACGAAAATGTTTGTAGCCACAGACCGATAAATTTAGGTTTAGATAAGTATGCGTCATAGTTT